TTCAGAAGGACCGCGACGAAATTCTAAATTCGCCAGTAACACCACCTTGCCTTGAATATAACTCTCAAGAAAGATAGAAACGATTGCACCATCAGCCAATGCGAATTTATGCAAGAGCTTTGTTTCTAAACAGTTAAATATCACAAATTATCACTTATTTCTGTTGGGAAGCGTTTCTTATCTCAAAAAACTAACAGAAACTAGCAGCTCTCTCTCGTTCTTATCCTCTTATTTTTGGCTCTCCTGCTAATTTCTGCTAGTAAAATTTTCTAGCAGAAACTAGCAGCTGTCAAAATGGATAAACAAATATTCGCGCCAAATATCTTCAATAGTCAAGTATATCGATCAGCTGTTTACTTGCTAGTTTAGCGTTTCTTTACTGTTTCTTTATTTCGCTTTCTGTGAGCGTAATTCTCTAAATTTTTCCGTATTCTTCCTGGTAATTATCTGCTAGAAAATAAAAGAAACAAAGCCAAGGTGTTGTTACTGGCGAATTTAGATTTGTGTGTGTTATAAACAAGGCGAATTCTTATTACCAAAAACCCCAAAGAACGTAAATATAGATCGAACACATCGGTACAATATGCATTTTTTAGGAGAGAATTTTATTTCAAACATTGAAATTTATTATCACTTATGGAAATGGGTATATAACATCTCTGTGCCAATTTATCTATCCCTACTGTGAATGGGCACTACTACTGTCAAATTATGGCATTTGTGTTGTGGCAGCACTGCCAATATCCGGCCACCATCTTTTTGCTTTTGGTTTCTCACGATGGTGAGTCGTTTGCTGCAATTTTCGGCCAAAAAGTTTTGTTTCTACTTATAAAATATACGATAATGTCAAAGCCAATTAACGCCTCAATGTTTAATAAAGAGTTTTACATAATAACGTTCTAAATAGGTCGTTTACATTATTTTTTCACAAACGTTTAACATGGCTGTCAAATGCACATGGCCCGGCTGTTGGTGCTAGCGGTGACGTGAAAGGGTGTAATGGAAACAAAACTTGCTGGCTACAAAACTTCCAATCCCAGTAAATATTTACAAAAGAATTTTTAAAATTTACAGCCACCAAAGAAGGACGCGAAATCGTCGGCT